AGTATAATATTAATCTCTTCTCCTCCTCAATCATCACTTAACAAAATGATTTTTTTTCAATATTAATTTTTATTTTTTTAGTATTTATTTTTATCTATTCATCATTTATTTTTTACGCTGCAATATAAAAATGAGTACTAAAAGAGTAAGGGCTGGTATTGAAAATATTAAAAAAAAGATATTGAAGAAAAATTAAAGTTGAGCCCTAAAAATAATTTAGAATTTTTTATTTCAGTCAAAGACTTTGATTCTTTTTTTAACTTTCTAAAATTTACAATACTTTATCATAATTAATTTTATTAAAAAAATTCTAATGTTGGATGTGTGATGTTTGCCTTGATATTATCAATATTCATCACATAATCACAATAGCATAATGATAATTAGGAGTTATAGATTACTTTTAAGCTCACAATAAAATACAGAAGGGTTAAAATTAATAATCCTTTAAAAATAATTTAAAATATTTATGATTTTATCAAAACCCTTTAAATAAATAGCTTGAGCTCAAACTTAATAATTTATAAAAATATAGAAAACATGGAAAAGTTTGAAAAACAAAATACTTTAAAATAGGGCCAAAAATATCATTTTTGTGTATTTTGATACATGCACCACAGCTCGTGGTCCATGCACCATGTCATATGACACAGAGAGGCCAATTCAGCTTCTGTATCGTGCGCTGTGATTTGTGTGCAACATGCCACGATGCACGTGTCCCTGTCATGACATTTTGCTATCGTGATGGCTTTTCAAAATGAATTTTAAACGCGTGTCATTTTCACATTCGATATCCTATTGGAGTGATTCAAGTACTCGTACAAAACTTATTTAATAAGCTAACTAATGATATAAGTTTTATTATAATCTAATATTGTATGAGAATTTTAGACACTTGAATGTGAAAGTTAGTTTTTAAAATGATTTTCAAGCATCCAAATACTCAAAACTTAAAACACATATCATTAATCCATTTTAAAGCTTGAATCAAGTTTAATGGACTAAAATACACTTGAATGAGCATTTAAACATATAAAAACATACTAAACACAAAATTTGACCACTTAATGCCAACTTTACCAATTATGGCCAAAAAAACAAAATCACGTTCACACATCATTTGGCCTCTATTATCACATAATACATCACATATATGTTATCACCACATGTATACAATATTCCTTACACTTATATTAGTATTTTAGCCCATTACCATAGAAATCACCACATATTCACATCATATATAACGTTAGTCTAAAATACAAAATATCATAATATAATACAAGTGCAACCAATCAAAATGACATGCATTTCTAGTTGACAACTTATGTTATCATCCATTTAAATTTACAAATACAACTCAATATAAAATCAAGTATTACAAGTACAAGTGGAGCTAATATTTGCCCGATTCCTTCCCTTTCTCAAACTCAATAGTAGGACTTGTAAAACAATAACCATGAGGTGAGATAAAAATCTCAATAATAAGATAATCTACATTATCGATTAACATGTCAAATTATAAACAAGCTTTAAGATATACATAACAATCACATTATATATGATTCATCACAATAAAATGCATGATCGCTAATCATCCAGTCTTCCAATATTTTCGATCGAACCAATAGGCTATTTCACAAAACTAAATCACATGTACGGTCTCTAAGCTCACCATCCATGCCAAGGTGCCTTAAACCATTTTAGACTACAAGTTTTCCCTGTTACAAATAATAGAGATGTCGTTACTCTAACACCACATCCTATAATATTAAGAAGCATAGTCTCCAACTTCGCACCCTTCTGGATATTAAGGAGAGTAAGTCTCCAATACCGCATCTTTTTTTTAGGCACTAAGAAGAAATATAAGTTACACCTGCCGTCTTGAGGTGCCAGCAGTGTCATATAAACTTAATCTCCACTAACTCCACTAAGGTAACCTCCCACCCTCTAACATGCTATATTTTATTACATATCTCTACTTGACCATACATAAACCACTTTCTAAGTAAATATGACAAATCTTACCATTTACTTCAAAAATATGAAATTTTACAAATCAATACTATACTCATTTTCTAAAATAGTTAACTTTCATAATATATATATATATATACATAACAAATTATAGAAGAACAACTTGAAAATAACTTATATAAAGTAATAAATAATGTAAATTATTTAGTTATCTTAACCTTTTTGTTACTGAAAAGGTTACCCATGATATTAAATCTTCTCTTGTGTCAAAGCAAGTTCTCACACCATAATCTACAATGAGTTCTATATATTAATTTTTAATTAATACAAGCATTAGTAGCTACCAATATCATTCCAATTCTCGAACTTCTCACTCATATTCTTAACAAAGAGATTTGTCAAGATTATAATTTGTTCACACAATCCCCTCAAGCCTCCCTTTATCTCTATCACAATATAACACTTAGTATCTCAACTTATCATATCTCAAAAATCCATACTCAAGCTAGGGCTTGATTCAATTTACACCAAACAACAACTAAACTTCATATTACTACTTATCCAATGTTAAGAAACTTAAATCAAACATTTAGAATCACTTGAAGTCTTTAAAACATAGACTCATAACTTAGTTCATTCAAAGCAAATTTACTCACTCCACAATTCCAACGAAAATGGGATGTAAAGGTAGATGAGAAAGGTGGTAAACTTATTTAAGAGTTTGAAGGCCCAATTTAGTTTCAAAATCCTCCCGAATTAAAGCCCTAGCAATGCTCAAATCTTCCTCCATCGAATTTTATACTTTCCCCTACAAAAACTAACTTTTTCTGAAAATTTGTGTTTTATGCTTGTGCTATATCATGTGTCACAAGCTATAGCTCACAATGCAATGAGCAAAAGTCTCCTCCCAATGCAACCCGATTTGATCTTTCATCTTAATTGAATTTAGAGCCAATATGACCAAAGAAGCTAATTAGCAATCCAAAAATATAATTAAATTAATTATTCAATCTTTTTTAACTAATTTATTTTTTAATTAACAATTTATTCCATATTTAAAGTTTTTGAATGTTACAGAGTGTCTATGAAAAGAAAAGTGTCAGATTTAGAAGTTTAGTATTACTTGCTCTTCTAATCCTGATTAGTTGATTCCTCTATGCCAATTTTCACGGCCAAGATGATGTAGAAATTTATATTCTGCGGTTGTCACTCATGAATTAGAGCATATTGAACTAAACAGCAAGCATGCAAGTCTCAACTTGCAGAACCCTTAGAGTTAACTTGCTCATTCTTACTACGTTTCTCATAAACAAGTTACTTTTCACCTTCATATTCACATTTCTATATTTTTTACCATTTAATCAATACCTCAGATCCTTGTGTTGTGTCCGAGAATCTGATCATATTGAAACTTGCTTCTTTTCCTCTTCCCTCTGCTTTCTTGTTGACATGGCTCTAGATATAAACTAAGTCTTTCTTATGATCTAATCAGTTTCTCTTCACGCAGGTAACGTGGAGAAGTGTAATGGGAACTGATTCCAACCAGAAGAACATTGCAGTGATTGTGCGACTTGTTTATTTCTTCAAAATGGCAGAGAAAGGAGGCAGGGGAAGTTTTGAAAGATGCACTGGCAAAGGTTCTTGTGCAGTATCACCCTCTTGCAGGGAGGCTCAACGTCAGTTCAGAGGGTAAACTCATGGTGGATTGTACACTGTTCAATGGAAGAGATCAGTGAGATTATAAAGATCTTTGGCAGATCTTTGGCAACCTAGCTTGCTTATAACATTACTGGTGTGAAACACGTACTTCAGACGAGTCTTTTGGTTATACCTGGGTTGTATTTCATTTGGACTTCCAAAACTCGAGAATTTCATGCAAATGTCTGTCTTTAGAATGCGCATGGGCTCCACTGTAGACACTCGTCAGTTCTTTGTACAGGGCAAGACAAGTGATAGACTTTGAGTTAAAAAATCTATTACCAAAACAAAGGAATGTCCAGTTTGAAAGCAATACTCCACATCGATCTATTTTTCTAGGTGGAAATAATAAATATACAATATCATAATAAAAATATCCCCCAGCATCTTGACTTGAACTGAACTATGCTGGACTTCGAAGATGAAGTTGCTGATTTACAGAATTAGTGCCTGTTTTGAGTGTAATTCAGTTTAAAGTGTATGTTTACACAAGCCATTTTCTCTCTATTCGTGCAACATGCAATAGAAAATTCGTTACGCTAGCGACAATAGAAAATGGTGTTATCTCCTCTGGTATTTTAGACTGTTAAGATCAGAATGATCCACAAAAACTGCTCACAAATTTTGAGATGAACTTTTGCAAACAAACGCGCACACATTCGTGCGTATAAACATTACGTTCTAACGTTTAAAGTTTCAACAATAGACTAATGCTTCAAGAATATTACATGAGATATTAATTGAGCCATAAACAAGTTGCCAGAAATACTCTAGTCAAAAGCATGAGAAAAAGTTGCTGTCGATTGCATGACAATTATTTAGCAGGAAATTGTTATTCATTCAAATTACGGATTGCCACCACTTATGATTCTAATGAGCCAAGGGTTGTCTAGCTGATGTTAATCTAGTCACCTGTGGATCCACTGCCGGAAAAATTTAATGGCAGCCTTCTCCGTGGATCTGATAAAAGGATGCCCAGAGACAATAAGTGATCTAAACCAGCAACTTTCCTCACACTGCCTTCTGAGTTGCTCTGTAAAACTAGTTCAGTAATGGCAAGTCCTATCAATCTGAATTGGGGATGGGCAAAGAACAAACTTGAATGTTGGGGGGTGAAATGTTACAAAACCATAGTGTAATTTATCTTACTCATATTACAATTAAAGTTATGGGCGTTTCAAATATTATGTGGTCTCCTTCAATAGTGTGTCATAAAATATTTGGTCCCCGTCAACTGTCAACTTGCAGTTGGATAGCAATGTAATTGGTTGTAACAAAAAATACAGCTTATTGGTGTCTGATAGAATCACGAGGAAAGACAACAATAGAACAATTTCTTTCTCTTTTCTGTAACTGCAACCCCCTCGAAAAACATAAGCACTTTGTCGAACAAGTTGCTTGTTCTTTACAGTTTCATGAGACAGACAGACAGACACACAGACAGACAGAGAGATTCTATATACATCTGATGCATTTAAACAAGGACCTAAACCAACTTTTCTTCTTTGATTTGCACACAAACTCCAGAGCCAAGCAAGTAAGTAAGAAAACAGAAGAGAAGAAAAGAGAAGTATATGCCCTTATGATGGGCTAATTAAAAGAGAGACCAGCATATATATGGGTTTTAGGTTTCTTGGAAAGGGTACACAAGTCACCTAGTATGCTAGTACTCTGGCTACTTGTGCAAGCTCTTCCGTAGTTTCAATTACCGCACAAGGTGATGTCCCTTCTAGTTGGTCTGAAATTCAAAGCATTTAGACTGTATATGCAGAGATTGGCTCTTCTTGCTTTGATTGCTATCTCATCAGAAGTGGTTCTGTATCCAGGAACATTGCATGCAGAGGATGAGCTGCCTATTAAACTTGCCTTGCAGGAAGACACTAGTTCAGAATCTTCAGCGCATCTCACTCCATCCACTGATGGTATTTCCAGCTTGTACATCCCATACTTATTTGTTGTTCTGTTCACTGAAACTGATATCTGTTCTTCAGTTTTCGCTGATAGTGCCTTAAAAACGCAATCTATTCTGACTTCGGCACCTGCAGATAAAGAACGAAAAATGAGTTCATAACATCCATCTATTTGTCTTTCAGCAACTTACAAAGCTCAAATCTAAACCTAGAGATTATATTACCAGGCAAGAAGTAGCTGTGTCTGGAGAAGCTGTTGTTGGAGCACGTATCACAATAAACAAAGCCCATGACAGTGATTTCGGGGTTGGGATGCACCAGCTTCCCTGGCAATTTGGGTTTTGGTCTTGCTGGCTCAATTTCTGAAAACTGTGTAAACAAAGATAAAAGAAGAAAGAGAATTACAGGATTCATGACGGCTGAGGCTTGGAAATAAGAGGCAAGCTTCCGAACGAACTATTTATGAGTGGCTGCGAAAGCTAGCGTAGGTTTCAGAGCATTAGCGCAGTAAGAGATTAGTTTGGTGTGTGGATGATGAGGGGAAATTTTTAGTGGAGAAGCAACCTCTAGCAAAAAGTTGGAAATAGTGGATCTTTTTTCACCAAAAACAAAGACATGTGAATGTTATTTGGCAAGACATGGAGCTATTGAGTAGGAGAGAGAAGAGAAGAGAATAGATAGAATAAGTAGATATACTCTTTGTGGGTGAGAGGCAAACGGCTTCGTTTGAGAGATTGAGGGATATGGGGCAGCTGATTATATAGAAATCCCAGCTGGAGTACCCCGAAATAAAGCCTACACCAAGAAATGTGAATGTGATTTTAATTAGAGTAATGATTACATATTTGCGCAACATACTTTCATTAAGTCACAAAGTAACTAGTACTAGTCAATATTCATTGAGCTCGTCTCTCATCCGTGCTTCTGCCGCTGCATTGAAGAGAAGCATGAAACTGGTGAGAGCATTCATGTCATTCACATGTGCCTCAGAGCAGAGCCATTGCCATTGCATACAGTCTCTGAATTGAAGCATTAATAGACAAATTTACTCAACCTCAATGCCCAAGATTGCTCTCTTAAAGCGAACCAATAATCCCACTATTGAGCGTAAGTATTGGGCGTAACAATGACATTATTGATATATCTTCAGAAGGCTCTTCTGAAGCCTCTCTACATTATATTCCTAAACGCTATCAACTTGCGTCGTCGGGTCACCATCTTTCTCATCACCATCAGCTACTTTGTGTGAGCCAATTGCAATAAATGACACAACCAAATGTCCAAATGACTACCGTTTTGACTATGGGATTAATCCCGGGCCTGGCCACCACTATTCAATAATACTACTTTGATTGCGTTGCATGTGTGAGTCCAAAAACTATTAGGATTACAAAGTTGATTCTTTTACATTTAGAAACACAAATACGGGCTCTAAAGTAAGGAAGCAGTGCGGGACTCAATAGCAGGTATGTCAATCCAGAAAAGCCCAAAAGGGGGCATTATCGAACATGGACAATGTTGGAAAGTTTCGTTCTTTTGTGGGTGGTTCATTTTACAGGACCGTTATTGAAGATGAACACGCCCCACTATAAATTGTCTCACCAACTTCTACACATCAGTGCATCTGCTATACATTGGTTTAACAGCTAGGAGCTAGTATTGTAGGAGGAGACAGCTATAAATAAAATGACCTGCACTTTCTTACTTTTTTTCTTCCGCTATGATCCAAACTATTATAAGTTTTTCAAGTCAATGAAGTTAGGTTAAAAGTTTTAAGCTTTTGTAGACGAAAAGATTCATACCAAGAATTTCAGGTTTAATTAGCAATAATTGGATTTGAATACTAAAAAGCCGTGATTGTGAAGAAAAAGGCTTTGGTTTGAGATAGGGACAGATTAAATGGATGAGGGCACGCATGGTTGGTATGATTATACAGTTATGACTGATGTGCAGAAGAAGAGTCCTATCTGCAACAGAACTGCAACGAAACTAACAAGTAACAACCCATAGGGTTTCACGGCGTTTATTTTTTGCGACATAGATCCCACTCTAGAGCCTGTATTTTTGTTATTAAATGTAAAAAAATAATGACTGCGTATTTTTTGTGACAGAGATCCCACAAAGAATATTTAGAGCAGTCATAATGACTGTCACCTCTGGTAAAAAAATAATGACCGTCACCAGCTTGAAGATTATTGAAGGCCATAAATATCAGCGGTTAAAGAAAGTCCAATTTTCCAAACTTCAAAAAAATGGGTTAATATACAAAATTTGACACTCAATTTTTGTTACTTTAAATTTTGCCACCAACATCATTATTATTGCTAGCTTGTGTCTTTTTTTTTTTTTTTAATGCAAACTCCTATTTTTAAATATAAGTAAATGCTGACAACTTTTGGTTCAAGTGTGACATGGACTCCCTCCCGTGATGCAAGGGTCCCGAGTTCAATTCCCTTGTGGCTCAAAAAGGAGAATTAAAATTTGTGAGTGGGGATATGAAGGTGATGATGTATGTAGGGTATACGTGTTCTTGTGGCGAAGGGTCGGATAGGGTAATAAAAATACTAAATTTTAACTCAATCACACAATGTAAGAAAGTTACTCAATCCTAATAATTATATCCGAAATTAAAAATTTTAAATTCAAATATTATTTTGATTGATCATTCATCTTTTTGGTAATTTAATAATATATTATCATTTAATAAACGGCAATTAAGGAAAGATGTCATTAGCACATGCATTCTGAGATTTGTTGTTTTACTTACTAAAAGAAAGAAAGAAAACATATGGAGTTTTGTTTATATTTAAAAACATGCGATGTATTTTAAAAAAATATTTTTAGTTACTCTATATGGCAGCTGTTCGTACATTTTTTAAATATTTTTTTAAACCATCTAAAAGAGATTTTTCACGGTGAATATCTTTTCTTATTTTTGCGTTTTTAAGAGGATCGGATTTGAACTGTTTCATGCAATTCATCAGAAGAGATGTGCACGTAGTTATGACTTATGAGCAATGATATGCACTGAATCTAACTTCCAATCTTCATCTTCTATGGCTAGATAGTTAAAGAATAGAGGAGTAAAGAGATCAGAGTTAGACAATGAAAAATTAATGCATGAGGGGAAAAGGTTTAAATAAGAGATCCACAAAAGCGGTGGTTGATATGGTATTTCATCATTAATTATGAACAAATGCATGACAAAACACATCATTAATTAATACGATTATCTCTACAACAAAGAGAGAGATGAGAACAGAAAGGGGGTGGGGATCAAAACAGAGATCAAAAGAATAAATTAAAGCAAGAAGAAGCACATGACCTAGGGATCCAAGCAAGTGAGCAGATGGTCATGTACATGCTTCTTCATATCATCAATTATTAAAAACTGATGAAGCTGCAGGCATCTTTTGAATTATATAATTTCAGTTCATTGGCACTTGATCCAAAGTGTGTTTTTGTGTGTGTGTGTGTTATGGTGCCATTTTAAACGTGATCAATTTTTATTAAACAAAGCGAGTTACGTCTAATTTGCGTGCGATTGTCGAATTACTATGTATAAATTAATTAGATTATTAAGATCGTCATGGTCATCATTTTACATATAAGTTGCGGGTTCATTCTTATTGACTGTCGTTAGATTAAATATGGTGTAACATGGTCGGTATATGATATGATAATATAATGATCATGTGGGGCGCGCTCTTTCCTATAAGCAGCCGACAATTTCACGGTTTTATAGTTGCAAGCTCGCTGTCTTGCTGTAATCATTTTATTCTGGTCCTCTGGAGTTGCCAAAAGAATAACGAGGCCGCTTTGAAGTTGCAGGAACAACAATATGAAATAGTAATTACGCACATGATCTCGGAGTGATTGGAAATGATCAATTATTGCTATTACATTATTTTTCTTTGTCGTCCACGAGCATCCACGGATCAAAGGTGTTGTAGATGATCAGTGTGATACACCAGACAAACCCTCATAATTATCATTTCATTTCCTTTATTTATTAATTTAGCGGATACTAATTACTGATCATTTATAGCGGTGCTTTATGCTTACAGGAACCCTGCTGCTGCTTCGTAGACGGCTTCCAAGATAGATAATGCCCAGCTGAAGCAAAAATCAACAAGGTCATGTTATCTAATAATAATTAAGAAATGGTGTGGTTAAGGATTAATTAGGTGAGATATAATTAATTAATTAAGGTGGCACCTGGTAGAGCGAGAATATGGAGGAAGCAAATGAGCGGATAGAGAAGATGGAGACGGAGATGGAGAAGGAGCTGCAACAGGAGGAGCGGTAAATGTGACAGTATCACAATCGAAGAGTGAAACGGCGTCGTCTTTCACGCACAGACGAATCTCAGCCAGAGCAGTACCAGCAGCACTAGTGGTGACGCCTAGCGTTGGAACGTAGCCCGTAGCTTCATGTACGGCGTTAAGCACGTCCAAGTTCCGATATGCATCACCATTTGGTCTCACCCCTAATAAATTAACATCGTCCAATTTTCTGGTCAGATTTGGATATAATATATATGCATGTGTACGTGTGTGTGTGTGTGAGAGAGGGAGATCTAGTGTTGTCGTGCATGCAATTAAATGCAACTTTCATTACTGTATTGAATTGAATTATACCTCTCTTTTCCAGAGCCTGCGAGATTTTGTCTGTGTACTTTTTGGCAAGATCGATGCTTCTCTGGAAGTACTGGAGGGCTGTGAACTTGTTAGCAGATCAGGTTCCATGCTTTTTCCACTCGTATTTCCAAAAGCTCTTTCTCTTTTCAAAGTCTTCTGCATTCTTTAGATCAGGCCAGTATGTGAGCAGTTCGTAGTCATTCTTCAACTGTTCAAGCTACATACACCATGCAAATCAACAGCAAATCATTAATAAAGTGAACACGAACAGGCGCACGCACACCTATACAATTAATTTGAAAAAAAAAAGATAATGATTACGATATCATCCGTGAGCTGCTCGGTGGTTGTGCAGTATTGTGGATATTTTTTTGGAGTGAACTGAGGCCAGAGTCCATGGATGGTGAAATATTGCTTGGGCAAGGAGGGATTGCAAGTTTTCGAGAGGAAAAATTGGCTAGGCCAGGTCAAAGCCAGCACACGAAATAATTAAAGCCTGGTTGAGTTTGTGCTCGCCATGCCCGTGGCTCCGAGTCTGTGTCTCCCCGACCCGACACAAATGCTACACATATCACAACCAGAAACACCAAATGCTTCGATTTCATGATGGTGTTGCTATAGTTCGTGATAATTAATCGTGGACTCTTCTCCATATGAGACTCGACTAAGAAAGTTGATAAGCTTTTATAATACTTTGGGATGAACTTTTTCGATGTTCCGTTGACGCCCACGCATGTGGCGAGAGAATTAAAATATTGTGATCCAGTCGTGAAGGCCTCTCCCGTGATGATTTTTTTCTATTAAAAAAAGGTTAAGCCATGTTGAGATGGGGAAAAGGCTGGATGATATATGAATAAATGAGTAAATTATGCGCGAAAGCTAATAAAACATGTGAAGAAACTTTGAAAGAATTAAAAATTACAGAAAAAGTACTGGTGTATATGTGGCTTTATTATTCATATGATTTGGCAATTGGCGTCACTTTGTGGCCCTCTGATCTAACGGTGAAGATTAAGCTCAACTTCCGTGTCTGTGTTGCATCATTAACTAATGTGAGGCCTTGTTATAAGATGGAGACAAACTAGGAGTGCTTTAAGTTGTTTATTTGTTAAAATTACAAGCTGGATTTTTTAGGATGCGATCTGAATTAATCTATGCTCACCATTTGATGTTTTGTTTTCATACTTAAAAACAAAAACTAAAGGGCGAACACCCAACCCATGCATCAAATAGAGCATTGTTATATGTTGATTTCTTTTTAGGACGGATTCTTACGTGCAGTAGTTGGACGTATTATAAACATTTATATTATTAATCATGATCGAATATATAAATCACTTCCTTAAAAAAATTACCACCATCATTTTTATAAGTTATTTTATGAACAAAGATCGGTCATTGATTTTTTTTTTTAATTTTATCTTTTCACTTCTACTCATGAGTATAGTACTGTTACATATAAGGGATAAATTTTTATAAATCAAATTTGAATTCAATAATTGTACTTAATACAAGCATTAAGTATTTGCATCATCTAAACTATTGAAATACATATCAGTATTCTAAATTATTCTTCATTTAAAATTAATGAATGAGTAAGTTTATTTGAATCGTTTACATAAATTTTAAGGGTTCAAATGGTATCTAGTCACCGAATCCAAATTCAACTACAAATCATGCCTTCAATAGGAGTAAACTAAAAATCTCTTTATTTTTCAGATAACATTAATAATTCAACTATATCTTCTTGATTATGGTGAGATTATTAAAATTAAAATTAACTTATGCATACTCTATATATAAGACCAGAAGGAGCGTCGTAGATCCAGCAGATACTGTGGGTCAAAAGCTGTGTGCCTAGTGCATTTAAAAAAATTGCTCAATCCAAAAAAAAAAATGTCATACGATCTGCTGACACTTTAAAAATACCGAAGAGTGCATTTTTAGCATCTCTTCATTTTTTTTTTTTTACTAACAGGTTAATAATTAACTTCTTTTCAGCCAGTAACTTAATAAAATATATGGTAGCCTCATGTCATATATTTTGTTTGCATCTCATATATTTATTAGAGTTTGATATTTAAGCCAATATTTTTTTTATTGCCTGCAAAAATCTTTCTATTGGAAGCAATTCCATTTGAGACATAGTCATGTACTAAATGTAAATATCTCTCTTAATAAAAATTTAAACTTTGATTTGGCATATTATAAAAAATTAAACCTTTCTGCTAGACCCTGTTGGCATATATTAAATTAATACTAACTTAAACCTTGATGTTCATGCATCTAATTCTCCACAGTCCGCATGGTTAGGAAAAAATTAGCATAGACATTGGACATGTTTCGTGTGTCAATTTAATTATTAATAAATATTTCTAAATTGAGTTATTTCTAATATGTTCTTTGAATAATTTGTATAAAAATACTCATGGAGCAAGTTTTAAATTGCTTAATTTAACTTATAATATTAGAAGAGAACTTGTCCAAATTTTTCTCCATTCCGTGGCTATTTTACAAACACTCCTTCGTGTTGAACTTGGACTGCTTAAAGTTTTTTATTTAGGTTAAGATCTGAATTAAATACAAGTAGGTATCTAATAATTTTTTTAAAAAATAAATTATAAATATTGATTAAAATAATTATAAATTCAATAATTTCATTTGTAAATATGAAATCTAAATTCTAAATGTAAATCTCAATTGCAATTATTCCCTTTTATTATCATACTCTAAATCAATATTGGCAACTAATTTTTCATAAAATTTTATTGAAAATATTATGAAAAATGACAGTAAAATTTATTTAAATTATATAAATGATATATTAGTCCTATGAAATATATATAACTTCTCTAGAGTCTTGTGGGATATTTTTGTCATTAGGAAATGATAAGAAATGACACTTTTGCCCTTTATTCAAATTAAAAAAAATTCACAACTTTTCATTTATAACTTTTATTCATATATTAATAACTTTGTTTCTAAATTCGTAACAATTTATTCGCTATTCGTAAGTTCTGTTCTGCAGGTCCTGATATACATTAGGTGTTGAAAATTTATAACTTTTTATTTACAACTTTTGTTCCTGTATTAACAACTTTTATTTATAAGTTTATAATTATTCAACAGTCATTTGTAACTCAGCATTTGCAGGTCCTAATATACATTAGGTGTTGAAAATTCATAACTTTTCATTTATACTTTTTGTTCCTATATTAATAACTTTTGTTTGTAAATTCGTAACAATTCAATAATCATTCACACTCCGCACATCCAGGTCTTAATATACATCAGGTATTAAAAATTCACAACTTTTCATTCATAATTTTTGTTCCTATATTAATAGCTTTTGTTTCTAAATTTACAACGATTCAATAGTCAATAGTAACTCTACATATGCAAGTCCTGATATACAATAAATGTTGAAAATTCACAACTTTTCATTCACAATTTTGTGTTCCTATATTAATAACTTTTGTTCCTAGACTCGCAATAACACACAATGCAACAAGGAATTATAATTTATCAGTATCCTCTATAAATTGACTAAATCAATAAAAATGAAGTGCCACTCTAATTCAAGAAATAACAACTTTCATTAATTTAAATGACAATAAAATCTTAAAAAGTGGTAACTATCTAAGGCTTTTATTATCAGTTATATGATCTACAACTTATATCAAAATACCATATAACCCTTTTGACAAAAATATATGAAGGGTTGAATTTTCTAGTGTTATCCCTTCCCTTATCATTTTATCCTCATACTCCCCCATCATATTATATTTTATCTTCAACATTTTTTACAAAATGTCCCCCTATGTGGAAATAACGAAATAGTTTCTTTCCAAAACTAAAGCAAAAGAAGTCATTTCTCATGCCAACATGAAACAATGAAATAGTCATTCATCAATATATCTATTTTTCAAATATTATAATCACATATATGTTATGTTTTATCCAACAACAACTATTCTTCTTATATTCACAACTTTATATTGGTCATTTGTAACTTTAGTTTATGCATTTACAACACAATTGAAAATGATATATCATTTATTGTTTATCATTGAGTAAGCATCCATATCCATATATAGTAGAGAAAATGAAGATCTCAATCATTTACGCACATTAACCCATATCAACTTCAACTATCACATATGAGAGGAAAAATTTTAAGGAGGAGAGGAAATTTACCCACATACAGCACATCTAATAGAGGAAGAATGATTGTTTACATATACCCATAGACAACGGCTTAATAAAACAAATCACCCATGTACAGAAACTCAAAAAGAAATAAGACGGACAAGAAGGAGAAGGAGAAAGAGAAGGAGAAGGAGATGGACCAAAAGAAGATCACAAAGAAGAGAGAAAAGGAGAACAAGAAGACAAAGTAGAGGCAAGAACGCACAGGAATGACTCTGCATTGAGGCTTGAGATTTTTGTTTTATTTAAGGGCAATTTGATCATTTCCTTTAATTTCCTAATAATAGAAAAATCTCATGAGACTTCAAGAAAATTATACCATTTCTTAGGACTAATATGTCATTTACATAATTTAAATAAATTTTTCTATCATTTTTCCAAAATATTAGCTGTCATTAATTTTCTACTATGAGACCTTGCTATCATTATCCTTAAAATGATCCTTGAAGGTTAGTTTGGGCTAAGTCCTGGAAGGTATACCAACTCCTCGACTAGTATGGTAGCTAGAATTGAGGGTTGTTTGCTATTGTGTATTGGAGAAAATCTTTCCTAACATGCAACATTCAAGTTTATTTTTTCTTTTTATATAAAGATAAATTCACTACTTTCTTTGATTTTATTAATATAATCATTGGACAAAGAAAAATTAGCGTAGACATATTTTGTTTATCAATAGAAAGAGAGAAGATTTTGAAAGAAAAGCATTTTAGAGAGCAATTTGGAAGAGGAGAGTAAGTGAGAGGGGTTTTGTGATGGTGGATGCGGAGAGATAGATGGGGATCGATGGGGTAGTCATGAGAGGGATAAAGAGCATTACCACAACCAGCGTCATTTATTTTTCAGTCGATCGGAGACTCAAAAGAAGGATGTGGAGACTTAAAACGAGATTATTGTCAAGAAAAAAGCTATCCTACTGTCGTATAAAAACAAGTTACTTGCTGTAAGAGGAGCAAGATTCTTGGTTAAGCTTGATGAGGATGAAGACATGGTACAGGGATGGAAAAAATATTTCCCCAAGATGAACAAAAATAGTGACTAAGGAGACAGATGATGAAGGGAGCGATGAAAGATTGAAAGTAAGAAGTGGCCTAGCCTATCTTTTATTGAGGATGAATATACCTCTTGGTGTAAACCATGGATGAATTCATTGATCGTGAAACTGTTAGGGGAAAATGCTCCAAAACATATTATTCATGAATCGCATTCAAGGGGAGATTAAGGTAATTCTATTGAGTGATAGATATTTTACAATTTCATTCACAAATAACGACGACTAAGATTATGCATATCAAGAAGGTGCATAGATGATAGATGATCATTACTTATTAGTGTAACGTTGGTGACCAAATTTCAATCCATGAAAAGCAGATACTCAAAAGAAAATTACAGCATGGGTATGGTTGGTTGATTTGCCTTTGAAATT